GAATTCTGAAGAAGCCCATATACAGCGGCTGGAGTCTATGCCGCACTGTGTCAGAGCGGAGGAAGATGTGACTACAGTTAGATATTTCTTTGTGCGTTCGCACATCGCTGATCTGCGTAAGAGGAGCGGTCGAGCGTAGTGAACGTATGCCTTGTGCTAGGGAGGATGTAAAGTTAGAAGTGGGCCAACAAGATTATGGGGTGCTAAAAGGAATTCTCCAGGAAGCTTTATTGGTGTAGCGTAAAGCAGCACTGTTGCTGCAGCTTGCACGGCAGAGATTTTGCAAATGCAAATAACCAAGAGAATAAGCGACAACTTTTCCCTTCAGCTGGGATCTGGGGAGGCGAGCAGCGAGGATTTAATTCATGGTAACGCTCGACTAATCCATTGGCTGCTTGACCGTATGCTGCCAAATGATTACAGCTGTAACTTAAAACTTGGCAGCATCTATCAAATACTGAGTATTCGAAAGGCTTTGCAAGGTCGGTTATGTTGGGGAATAGGCATCCGTAGTATGAGACCGAACTATGCAAGAATTACCGGATAACAGTCTGTCACGGAAATAGCTTCTGGACATCTGCTGATACGGTCGATACATGTAAATTTGTATACGAATCCATGTGTAGGGGGGGGGGGCAAAGAACCCGCTCAGGTAGAAACATACATGCGCCAACCGAGACTTTGAAGCATGAAATATGCTAAGAGGATAACGGATGAGCCCATATATTTATGAGCGTTAGTATTGTATTCAGGTGGGAACCAACGTACGATAATCTTATTCCTCCTTGGCCATTAAAATGTTTAATGAGTTTTCAACGATGCACGGAAACTGGAAGTAGTCATGAAAATAGTGTAAGTAAGAGACAGGCACCAAGGTTTTGAGGCAGCCTGCGGAACTGACTCGTCAGGATGGTTACCTCTGGGGGTTGCGCGTGCCATGCAGTAGACTGCAATGCCTATTGAAAGTATTTACCATGAGCCTGTGTCGAAGGTTTGCTGACAAGGTGCAACGTAGGCAAAACGTGGAGAGTGAGGTTGACGCCTGCGAGAACTTCAAAGAGGGGATGGTCGACACCCGAGAAATGATTTATGGCAAGATCGAACTGCGTGACGAGGTTTAAGTGTCTAATGTTCTTTGATGAATATCTGTCAGAAGATGAGTTCAAGGCGCAAATGAGAAAGTTGCAGTCAATGCAGACAATGAGAGCCCGGCCTTTCAGTGTGTCCGAAGTGACAGATAGCTAAGCAGATGCAATCAGTACTCTACCAAATGTGCTGTGTCCGGATTCCGCTGGTTGCGGGCGTTTGGAGAAGCGACAGATTAGGGGCTGCTTCCCACACCCCATAGTGTTGCAGGACTAAAGCTTCTACCGCGACATCTGAGGAATCAGACGTGATAGAGAGACATGTGGTCGGTTCAGGATGAGCGAGAAGGGAACTGATTGAAATTGCATCCTTGGGCTCGACAAAAGCTCTGTGTGCTTTACCCGGAACAGCGAACGTACACTCATTTCCTATGAAGCTAACTTAGGGGCTGCATGAGCTGAGCACTGTGAGGATTAGAGCCGATAATATTTGACTAAAGCACAGATTCGTTTAGGATGTCTGAGTAAAGTCGGAGCTGCGAAATCGCTCATTGCCTGGGGCTTATGAGGAAGAATTAGAATATCTGACGGTAAAACGTGATGGCATAGGACGTTTGTGTTAAATTGCCGGGTTCACATTTAGTCTTGTTGACTGTAATACGGTGTTGCATCAACCGCTGGAAGAGAGAACGAAAATGGTCGAGGTTATATTCTTCCCCCCAACTGGCTACTAACCTGTCTTCGATATAGGAATAGAATGTTTGGGCTGCTTCAAATATTCTGAAAGACCTTCTTAAAAGATGTACCAACCCGAAAGCAATGATGATGGCCGTTTTGGCAACTTACACTACTTGTACAGGTATCTGGAGATTTGCATGAAAAAGGATGATTTTAATTTGGTGTAAATGTGAGGCATTTGATGAGGTCAAGCGTGGATTGTTGCCTATTAGGGACAGCTAGCTTACGGAGTGCGCGATTGGTACCACAAGGCGTCAGTTACCAGATTTCGCAGGAACGATCCGCCGTGGGGAGGATCAGGCGAGTATTGGCCCGTGTTCGAGCACGTGCTCAAATTCCGCTATAACTACCCTACGTTTCTCTAATAAAAGAGTGGACGAGACGAGACGGACAGGCCATTCGTCCGGGTGTAATAAGTGAATTTGCATGCCACGTGGAAAGTAGAATTCATTGGTTGAACGAGATTGATGTAGTGGCGGTAACCTTCGGCCTAGCTTGGTGAGTTTCGGTTAAGGCTTATCATAAGACGACAGCGCGAATTCGGCGTAGTTGCAGCGTACATTGAGCTAGTTCACCGAATCTAAAATACTATGCATATAAATACGGATTTACGTTTACTTTAATACTGTGCGTGAAACTGTTCTTAAAGTAGGCACATCAGAATATACAGAAATGACCGTATCATGCATGAATAAATAATGTTAACAAGTTTCTGCTTTTTAAATATTTTTGGGTCCATATTGGAGCATTTCATCAGGCAACTTGTCGGATAAGAACATGGATAACAACACTTCTAGATGGAAGCATCTATGGAGTTTGTTGTGGAATGAGGTCGGGTTTTTAGACAGTATGACTGCGGCTAGTAGTCTATTTCACAAGAATGCTTGTCCAATGAGGAAAACGTTGAAGCGCATATATGTATATGTGGGCCTCATGCTGTGGCTGGTGTTGCATTCATGATGCTTCTTCATCGCAGTTGGGCTAAACCAACTTGCGCTTTTTAAAATTGGAGAAATTTCTTTTCACTTTATTTGGTTTGTTCTGCCTACATGAATTATCTATTAACTTGCACACATTGCTTAGGCTAATTGCGCTTAGCTTCGTTAACTTTATCACGTCTGTAGCATTTATTGAATAACTTGTAGACATTTTGTACTTATCTCGGATTCAGTGTTAACCAGCTTACTTCAAGTGCTAATTTAGCGAAGAGTTATGCCACCGTATCTCTATGCATTATTGCATTTATTTTATTTCATCTTGGCGTTGCGAGTTATTGGCTGTTGCTTGGTATCCCCCGTGTGGCTGCGCTTGATGTGCATGTTGACAAGGTGCCTCCCTGTCTATTACTCACTAACTCGTCCATCTGGCTCTAGGAGACAGTTGGTCGTTGCTGGAGGGGACAGGGTGCACGGTCCTTGTGGTCGTGCTAGGCTCGAAGAGTGGTTCCATGCACTCAGTGTAGAGCGGACTACGGTCCATCCACCGCCTTGTGTGCGCTTGATTCCCCAACCACAGCGTGCTTGTGTTTGCCTGTGAAGGAATATGTGTCGGCTCCCTTGATGAAACGTGGCTCCCATCCACATGCCTCCCGGTCTTGTTCCTTCGCGTTTACACGATATGGGGTGTGTGGATGGTGCAGCGCTTGCCACCCATGGTCCCTCGGTATGCGCAGGTGTCCTGTGGCTTGCCACATTGACAGGCAAATCCGAAACCGGATGCCGCCAACCATGCTTCCAAAACAAGATGTTTGTATTTTGCGTCGTGGCGACGGTCATAAATTTCTAGGTTTATTTCACTTTTACACAAAACAACCGTTTTATTTGGATAAATTCAAAGTTATAACCATGAACACGGGACCCATTTTATGGACCATCTTTAGTAACAACAAGCAATTTCCGCGCATAACTGCCAAACATGACAAGCAACGTGATGTGCACCATTTAATTAGGAAAAGTTAGCTTCCTAGCTGTCATGGCAGAGAATGCACAACTACACCAACATCTATTCATAGTAATTATTTGCGTCTGTTACATGCCTTACATCCACATGGTTACCTAGCTCACATTGGACTAGCATATTCCAGTTGCAATGGGACGGTTACCTGAAAACTGGTTGGAAATTACAGAGCCATTGCAACTTGCATTAGCCTAGGCTACTATCCTTGCGCATTTGCTTTAGCAACGATCACGAAAATATCCGCCATGTGAGGAAACCAGAGCAGAAATTTTAACCACTGATGACGTCTTTTTTGATGTATCTAGATCCCTTTTTATCAGTCGGCTTTATAGAAGCCCATGATATTATACTGGTTTATGTTTGTGCAAAGCGACAAGGAGAAACTTGCCAGTCACTATCAGTTCCCTCAAAATCTCCGATGATATGTGACGAACTGACGGTAGACCAAGATGGGTTACATTCCACCGGTGAATATATCATCAAAAAGATATAGTTCATCGTCAAACAGTTAAGCTAAAATCAGGGTTATATAGATATAATCCAAAGCAACTAAGAGCCATTTTTCTAACAAAACATGCGCCGGTTTGCCTGGTTTCTTAGCCTGCGACTGTTTCGCTATCCCGTAGGCCTTCAATATCATCAAGAACCGTAAACAATTAGCCCAGTTCAAACAAATGTTTGTGATACGGTCCAGGGTTTCACTTTATCTGGCGCCAAATTACATACCTGGTGCTTTTTACTTCCCTATTGGTTTTATTCTTCAGACGTAGTGCAACATTAGAGAAGTTAGGTCAATCGATTTTAGTAAGTTATACCACATGATTGTTTTACTAGGAAATAGCAGGAAACATGGTAATTTTCGAAAAACGTGCGCGTAAGTCTTGCTCAAATTTCGCATCATTCCATGCTGAGGTAATTATAAAAAGAATGACATGAACTCTTGTCAAAATGTATAAAATACCATATCCTCCAGGTTTAAAAAATCAGAATCAACGGTCGCGTATTGCGACCCTTTCAAGGTGTACCTCGGCACCGGACGTATCGATTATGTAAAGTGAGAACGTGCGTTTTCAGGAATTTTTGGGTCACGCCACGAATATGCATCAGGTGATGCTTATGAAAAGACACTCCTGGTATGTAATTTTCCAACTTGGCCTCAACTGCGGAGTGTAACGGTTTGGGAAGCATATAATAACCGCGTTGAGTTTTCACACGTTGATCATGCACAAACTGTTGTGTTTTGCATTAATCGTTTGTCATTTTTTCTATGCTGGTTCTCTTCAAGCACAGAGCAGGGGACGGAACGTATTCCGTCTTCGGGGGTTGACTTCAGAAAATAAGGAGAAGATAGATAGCCTGAAAGATATAAATCGACTGACAAACAAGATTATTGCAACGACAGAATCTCCCAAAGTAAGTCAACTTACAGATTATTTGTCATATCTTCATTGGTACAGGGAACCTTATTTGCAGTGTGTCATCAATGAACTAAGATGTTTTAGCATGTGCGCACAGGCGGACGATGACGTAAGCCATGCCAAGCTTTTTGAAATGATGATTATTCACCGCTAAAAGGGTTAATGTCTAACGGGTTCCGCAGTGTTGTTTAAATGCGTCTTTTCAATAACTGTGCGTTGACCAACATAGCATTTGCATACTCACAAACATCAATCCGTCTAAAAGAAATAAGGTGTTGCACACCCTAAAACATAACACTTTATGACGCATTTTGATTTCATTTAATCGAGATGACCAACGTTCACTTTGGGGCGGATTAAAGTCCACAACCTAATCTCGAAGCGAGTACTTCAAAACGCCTCTCCAATTATTCCACCTGCTTCGATCCGATTGAAACTTGTTGAGACGCAGTTTGCGGTATGATGTCTCCCAGTAAAAATGACTTCCAACATGTGCCACAAAAGACATACATCATCCTCATATGGTATTTAAACACGAATAGCTTGGACTCAGTTTTGACGTAAGTTGTAGAGGCTGCCAGGTAGTAATGTGTTTCGGTGAAAGACTTTCACCAACATTCTAACTATTTATATTATTTTGGTAAAGTAAACTGTTGGTCATTCAGGTTTCTATTGTGGTCTGATTTCAGCCGGTAGTGGTAGACATGAGTGGGTTTCTATAAACCTCATAGGCTGCCTTAAGCTATTGCCCTGAATGAGGACGTTTACACTGTACACTATATAGGATTTTGAATGATTCATACCACTGAGAAGAACACATCAAGCAGAATGTGACAAGTATTAGCCTTTGAGTGCGCACCAAAATACATAAAAATCTATTTAGTCCAGGTAAACGAGCATAAACGGCGATACACGTCACACCTGTTACTGCTACGTTGCACCAGTGTCAAGCGCTAGGGGGAGCACTTACGATATATGGTCAATAAGAATAGATAAGACATTTAACCGGTGACACCTATGAGAACCTTTGCATATATCACCGTTAAGCAGGAGCTAACCCAGTTTGATCCTCGATATGAACCGACCAGTTCACACTTAAACAAGCAAGGCCCCTCATGACGACCGATTGCTCGATAATTCACAGAATATTTAGTGAAAACTGACAAAATCAAGGGCATTGCATCAATAAACTTTTTTGCAATAAAGCTAACTCCGTGAACGTTATCTGAAATGACTAATTAGCAGAGACCTCGTACCTGCGCACAAAACCAGACTTTGCGGTCCAGAAACTTTGAAGATCGTGACGAGCAGTGAGTCTGGTGGATAAGAATTCTGAGTCTCCTAACATCAGAGACACCGATTCCAATCGCAATATCTGTAGTTGCAACAAAACTGCAGAAAGCAGTTCGTAGACTTTACTTGCTTACTGTAAGCACAAGGCATAATTATCGGTAACTACTGATTTGGTACTCCGTCCTCACGGATATGTGTGATTCAATGACTACTTAACATAAACTATAAGGTCCGGGCCTAGTAATTAGAGATGTCAATAGTTTCACACCGCAGTATTCATACTGCCATGCGTGTTTGAACGTTGTCACTACTGACATGTGTATCAAGTGTAAACCAATATTCTTTGGTCATTTATGTGGCTGTGGCCGGGTTAATGAATGTTCCAGTGAACGATCATCTACTGCTACCGGTGTGGTCATCCAATACTTTCCAGGTGGTACACTCATTGACTTCTGGTTAAATGTGGCAGCGTGTATTTGTAGGGGTCAGCTCAATATGTTATTCTTTATAGCAGGCACGGAGTATACGGGCAAATTATGGTTACGTTAATGTGTCTCCCCAATGAACTACCAATACGTCATATATTAACAATTACCTTCGCTTTAACATATACCACCATATGTGCCAAGCTTTTGTTCATTGCTCTGAATTAAGTAGACATACATATCTTTGAACTGGGTGGCACTGGGTTGCACTGTAGGTCACCTCGGTAGCAAGCAATCTCTTTGGAGGCAGCATTCAGCGGCATATCACGGATAAAATTATGCCGAAGCTTAACTCGTTCCACAGGTTTGTGAACGAGAGTTTCTAAGGCTGAAGAAAAAGTTGCAATAGCCGTTGAAAGTGAAAGCAGCGGAATTGCCGAGCAAATGGTATCCGTCTGCAAAGTTCACATATGGGGTTTTGCAATTTGAAATGTCAACGCCCTTGAGTTTCTTTAAAAATCGGGTCTGGGTTGATGCGGTTAGTGTTCTGAATGCGCGTAGGGTTCCTGTGTGTTTTGTGATGTGAGATAATGCGATCAACGCATTGTCGACAAGATCAATAAACACAGCTAGTGCAAAGGTTGCAATAACTAGTTCTGCGTAGGGTTTCATAAGTGACGAGCACGTAGCCAGAGGAAATGCCGTGTACAATCTAGATAGCTGTAATTGTCAGTCAGTTTAAGTTGGTGGCCTCTTTGTTGGTTCTCATGACTGAATGTCAGCAGCTGGCATCATACGTGCTTAAGGTTGCTTCAAATCTGATTGCAGATGATCAGGTCATCGTATAAGCGCCATAAGCTTCCACTGAAGGCAACCAAAATAGTCAAGCGCCGTTCGTAATGTCAGTGGTATAGCCATAAGACCTTTTTGCCGGCGCATTGATAAAGAAAGCGCTTTGCACTGTATTGCTACCTCGTAATCCCTTTATTTCTGAGTTCAACCACGTTCCATCTATGAAGATGAGGTCATGGGTGTTTGTGATGTACGCATCATCATCATCATCATTACACGTTAGCTGGAGGTGGAAAACACCTCAGCTATTGTGCCGCAATACAAAAGGCAAGAAAAGAAGAAAAAACAAAACAACAACAACAAACAGTGGCACGCCCGCTGAGTCCCCAGTAACGGATGGACATCGTTCCGGAGAGCTAACAGCTGGCTGCCGTAAAAGAAAGTCATATTATGCCAAACGATTGAGATCGTGATTGGAGGGGGATGCTAAACAGGAGGGGGATGGACAAAGGAACTCACAACACAAACGCCATTGGGGCCGGCACCTAGCCATATCAGCAAGTGTGTCCAACCAAACGTGTTCACCGTCCTTAGGACCCCAACCAGGCAGTCGGGATGCACCAACCGACGCCAACTTCGAAGTGAGGGTTTTCATTTCTCTCGACCAAGTCATCACTTGGCCTCCCCTCCTCCTCTTCCAACCGCACCCACAACGCGTAAACAAAGCACGTCGTGGGAGTCGGTGTGCTGGCATGCGCAACACGTGGCCCAGCCATCGGAGCCTGGTGCGTGATATAATCGTGCTGAGCGGTTCACTCGCTCTTCCTGTACCAAATACGCGACGCCGAACACGCTCATTGCTCACGCGGTGTTCCCACCAGACATGAGCTAAGCTGCGAAGGCAGCGATGATCGAATGTGACGAGTCTCTTCATGTCTGTCGACCTGATGGGTCAGGTTTCACAGCCATATAGGAGAGTTGAACGGACGGCTGCGTTGTAAACTCTGCCCTTCAGGGCGAGAGTAATGTCGCGTCTGCGCCACAGGTGGCGGAGATTGGCAAAAGCACCTCGAGCTTTTGCTATACGGTTCGTAACCTCATCTTCAATCCCACGGGTGCTAATATAGCTGCCCAGGTACTTGAATTCCTGAACGACTTCTAGCAGATCACCACCAAGCGTTAGCGCAGGGTTGGGTCCCTGCCAATCTTGGAGAAGTACTTTGCATTTCGATGGAGCAAAGCATAGCCCAAAACGATTGACAGCCAGTGCTAATCGGTTCAGTGCTCTTTGGCATGTTTGGGAGCTGTCACAGATTAGGGCAATATCCTCTGCATACTCCAAGTCAAGAAGCCGCTCACCAGGGAGTAGCTCCACACCTTCTAGGTCGTGTCCAGCGAACGCTATTTCCATGACTTCATCAATAGCGAAGTTGAAAAGGAAAGGTGACAGCGGGCATCCTTGTCTCACACCGCTGGTGATACTGAAGGGTGGCGAGAGTTTGCCATAAACCCTCACCCTGCCCGAACTATGTGCGTACAGCGCTTTGATAATATTTACATATTTATCAGGCACACCTTTCCTCAACAGACAGTCCCAAAGGGCACATCGATCGACTGAGTCGAAGGCACCTTTTATGTCAAGAAACACGACAACGGTGGGTCGCCAATAAACATGGCGGTGCTCCAACACTTGACGCACTCAGGGTTAAGTAAGCTAAGTGAGGAGGTCTTAGGCATTTATGCACATACCATAAGGTTTATGGAGGCGTAGTACGTACACGGCCTACATGCATTTTGTGTATGTATTAACGCAAAATTCAGCGAATAATCAGCACTTAACCTGATTTGTCCGAGGCACTTTAGTTTTCGTAAATGTCTCTGAATGAATGGAATACCAGTGAAAACGAATGGTAGTAAGTAAAATTCGCTTGACCAAGTCACCATTCTGGCTACATGGACTACGAGAACATAAAAATAGAAAGAAAAGGCTCTTCGAGCCGGTAAACCCAAAAGTTTCATGCTTTGTCGGTATTATATTTGAACATCACGTCTCGGACACAACCATGTACTGATGGCTAGGAATGAGCAGCCGAAGAATTTGCAACGAATTACGCCGTGGCCTAACCACTACTCATCAAAAGAAGTAAATAGCCAGTAGCCATTCGGTGCAGAAATCCCCTACAAGTATTGCGTTATCAACAACATTTTAATGAACTTGTATTCCAGATTGGTTCCAAAAAATGGCAACCTGGCTGGACTGCTTTCCTTAGTGAACCCTGTAACTTAATGACAGTGAGCATTACCCTGCTCGGGAATACAACTGAATACCAGTTGTCGCACAGTGAGTAGGTGTATGGAAAACAAGTGATTGTGCGCATGATGCGTTCCGAATATCTTTTTTATTATCTGCAACCACGACCTGTTCTCACTTCCTCTCTTGGTTTTCTGCACCTGATCGTAGTCAAATACTGGCCAACAAGGCGGGGACGAAATTCAACATTCCCCTTTGCGGTATATACTAATCAGCTTGGATCACTATGAGGAATGGTCAAACTGGTCGCAGTGTGTTATACCCAGCTGCATTCAGTATCGCTATAGACGGTGTACTGACGATTCCTGGAAGCAAATCCATCTGAGTAAATCCGGAAAATACAACTGCCCTAGTACAATCAGTGTGGAGACACGCCGATGCATTGACCAGACGGGCTGTCCAGTACCTGGTAAGCTATCTACTCTCCGTGGAATATATAACTATGGCACTACATTTTGATAACCGTACAAGATAAAATAAATGAAGTCTTCAGTTTACATTACGGTGGCTTTGTTTTGTCGATCAGAACTAGGACTATTTGTTGATATTAGATGTATAAAAGCAAATAAATGGGATGGTTCTTGACAGCGCGAGACCCAGACCGAATACTTGGTCTGAGCAATTTGTATAACATACTCGGATAGTGCAGAACGTTGTTGGAGTATTAAGATGAGGTTCCCGATAAAGCGATTAGAGTAGTCTATCATTTAAGATTAATATAGGATACAGAGGTTAAGAGTATATATATATATTTATTTATATTTATTTATATACATCAAATAACGGAATACGGCCATCTGTGGATCCGTCTCCTGTAAATATGCTGACACGTGAGACATCAATTCGTAGGATTCCATGTGTAATTCTATTTATCAGCTGAACTTTTGCTTATGTGGATTAAAACAAAGGAGCTATGATCATTTTGACTCGTTTTAAGTGGCTGTCGTCATATGCCTATAGGCCGCCATCACGTTGAAAATGTGTGTTGTTTAAGACTTCGTTATAAGCAATTAGGCGGACTTTCTGTTCTCATTAATTTACCAACTCATTTGCCCCATGGTTGACGACTGCGTTGCTATTCCTATGTAGTCCGTTTTTAAAAAGCAATTCGGATCATTTAAGTCAACATGAGTAGTAAGCTTCTGGTACTGGGCAACTGGTCATTAAAATTCGGCTGGTACTTCATCCTACGTTGTCATCATTTGCTCATATGGCAGTGTGACAATGTCAAGAACACGGTGGTCTATTTAACAGCGTTTCGCGAAGACACGAGCAAAGAGTGTGGACTCATGATGTCGCGTCGATTCTTACTTGGTAGATGCTGTGTACAATTGCATTGCTGTTATAATGCGAAAGGGGAGAGTCAGAAGATGGATTTACATGATTAGTAGTATGCATTTGCAATCATCATGTGCTTACTAAAAGACACTTAAGACAAGTTAGAGCTCATCCAAGCGAAGAAAGTTAAGGAAGTGCATCTGAATTTCAAACGTTAACGACGTCGTCGAGGGTGTATAAAACCAGTAATTGGGAAATGTTCGTAATTCCGACGAGGATTAGACACACACACACACACACACATGAATTGGTCAAGCTCACATTCCCTCTATATTAACTAATCAAGTGTTCTGATATCTCATTATCTTTTCTCCTTCCCGACGGACTGCGTTAATTTCTAAACGCCTCTCATCCTTTAGTTGTGAGAGACCAAAGCATCCCTTGTTCATATTCCGTAAAGTATCTCGGTGTTTAGTTGGCCTACAATTTATCCTGGTCAAAGCATATTACTGAAACTCTTTAAAAACGCAGAAGATTATCCACTTACCTTCTCGGTCTCAAAATGCTCTCCGTACCGCGTGCTGTACTTGTTAAGTGTGTAAATGCAGATATTTTACCTTGTTGTCTATACTATTCCCGTTATTTTCCATGGACTAATTTAAAAAGCTTATACCCTTCTTGTGCGATCACTAAAACTTCTTTCCCGATGCTCTGGATTAAGCAGAGAAACCTTCGTTGAATTTGTGGTCAGCGAGCATTTTGATGCACGCTTTAACTTTTCATCCAAGATAATAAAAGACAGCTCTCACCACCTGGCCGTTGTGTTAGCTAGTTCGGTGTTCATTTCTTCTACGTGGTCGAAATTTAGAGTTTTGTTTTCCCGTACCTCCTCGTATCGAAACTCCATTTTGGCTTAGCTGTCGCACTTGTTAGTCCGCTCAAGGGTGATGATACCACCATTGTGAGAACGTTTGCTCGGTTGAAAATAAATTATATTTGTTGTTCGTGTCAATTCACATCATTTTCCAACCGATTTTCCATTGTACTGTGTCCGCAGTCTTGGTGTAAATTGCTGAAAATGCCCCCACCGAGGTGTATAAAGCTTATCGTGACTTGATTTGACTTGACAAGGTAATGCGATTTTATTACTATAGTAGCCTTTCCAAGAAGTTTTGCTTTACAGTAGAATGATGTTCTTTGGTTGCTAATTTCAATGCGCTTTCATGATCCCGGTGTATGACGATTCTCTACGAAGCCTCCTACATTAACAAGCAAAGGGCACTAGAATTACTAAACTTGTGCTTCTTTTTAGATAGTAGATTCGAAATAACCCTTGGTCTTGCTTATTAATGATAAGACAAAGGAAACGAGAATTGGCTGCTTGGAAGCCACAAAGTAATATTATACTACGAACGAACAAGGAACAAAACCATATGCATGAATGCAATGCGTTAACAACATGGTAAGTCACTATGACGAATTCTAGGAACTCGCATTGGTCACAACAATTCACATCAACCAAGGAGACCAGTTTAAGTGTGTCACTTACATTGAAAGATGGCAAATAAGAATGAAGCACGTTTAATGACGCTTACATATACAAAAAATGCTATCCTTATAATCAGCAGCAGCTGTTAACAAGCTATGTGACATGAATGTCTAAAGACAAAATTCCGTGTTTTGCTGGTTGCTCGTCCGCGAACCGACTAAACATGGTAGCTCGCAACACCAACTATTTATGTTCGATGAGACAGAGAACCGAAGTCGTAACCGAACGACCGTATGGACACAGTAGAAGTACGGAACGAGGGTTTCAGCGTAAGATGTTCTGCTTATGAACATACGGTCGATTCAGTTAATCAGACCCAAGGACCCGCCTAATCCAATGAATGTTAACGGTAGACAACTTATGACAACAAATCAAAGCCATGAATGTATCAACATGGTCACAACAGTCTCGTTGATGAAATCTACACCTATCTGCCTAACTGAGCAATTGGCGCTTCCGGGTACTGCAAAAGTATCAATCTTCGTCAAGGTGGATTCGCGTCATCCTGAGGAGATGAACAGCTAAACATCCATAATCAAAAGGGGTTTCGAACACAAATTTACTCCATGTGAACTCACACCGTGCTCATTTAAACAGAAACCAACCAGTTGCAAAACACGCCCATTTCTGTCGCAGTGCCAAATCCCAAAACGTCTTATTAACAGTTGTTAATATATTCAATACTAATTACTCCTTTACTTGCTTGTTACACGTTTCTGTTTTTTTTTATTGAATGATCTGTAAACGATAAAATTCATCAAAATGCGACCACCAACTGACTCAGGATGTAGCAGCAAGCGCGTATCTCATATCGTTCTTTGCTTCGTTGGACGGTTGACAAGTAATTGGACTACAAATGCTGTGTAATATGCAACTGAGTACAGACATGTTAATTGTTTCCTAACTACAAATGAGGTTTGTTTTTAATGGTTCAAGAGCACATAGCTTATGTGCTTCATCTCCTTTTCGCTTTTCTTTCAGGGACGTTCCCCAACTGTGGCATTCGACCCCAGCACTTGAGTATCGAGCCCAAAATTGTGGGGGGAGAAAACAGCCTTCCAAACGCTTGGCCGTGGTTGGTAAGTTGGTTGAACCGTATGGGAATTCGAATGTGAACCTGGTGCTCCGTAATAAGAAGTTGTGATCGGAGAGAAACCAGTTTTTTTCCTTCACAAATGAGGGCTTAGAGACCGAATTTCCTTACTTTCATCTCAACGTGCATCACCGTCTTGAGCAAGCTGACCAGTCGCCTTTCACACAAAAACGATCGCTTTACTATGACCTCCACTTAGCCATTCACCGTGTTGACATGCGTGGCCCCACGCAACTCTTCGGCTTAGGAGTAGAGATTTCGAGTGACAACCTAAGTGTCCAGAGTTTTAACCTAATTTCTTCTATCCCTACCGATACAAGAATTCATGGTTACGAGTGGGTAATAAGTAAAGTAATAACGCTTCACAGATTCCTGTGTCCTTAGTAGACTTTTCCCACCAAAAGCCCTGAACTCAATTCATGCCACAACCAAATGGGAGAATGCGATAATCTTAGATATATTGCAAATATCGTATTTGGGCCACCAATAACTGATCATGCCAAGTTAGATTTGCCGAAGTTGTGACGGCCGATTGGAAATTCTTGAAGGGTGACTAAGCTGACAGCGCTTGGATTCAGTTTGTTGGACGTTTCAACAAGCTAAGCGCAGCTGCAAAAGCGGACAGCTTTCGCTCCACCGATCCCTCCATCTGAATACTGAATACCACAACTATAACCTGCAATCCCATGTCACCAGGCAATGCAGCTTGACACACTTATAGAGCTAGTCCTGGTCCCGAAACCTGGAACAAATACCGTATTTTTCAGACCATAAGGCATTATAAGAGGCGGTATCAGTGAACGGATCGAATTGCATATAAAAGGTGCACCGGATTATAAGACGCATTAAGCGAATCAAAATAGTCGGGTAGGTCAGACTTAATTCAACTCATTAACAATAACTGTCAATTTTTCACATGTAGCACACGTAAAGCACAACCAAATACACTCACTTTTTCAACCATTCCTCTCCCACAAAGCTGACAAATTCTTCCTCCTCAGTGTCGGAGTTTAACAGTTGGGCGATAGCGACATTGAGCAAGCCCGCATCCCTCTCGTAATCATCTGATTCGGTTTAGTTGCTGTTGTCTTTTTTGTTCATTTATGGTTCCGGCCTTCGTGCAAACTCGGAAGAGAGTAGAGACCGATAACTTGGCCCAGTCATCGACGATCCATTGGCATATAGTGGCTTAACTAGCCCGGCGTTGCGTCCTGTCATGGTAAATGTGTGCTCACCTTCTGTCATCCAATGCGTTCACATGGTTCGCACTTTAATTTTGAACGCCCTGTTAACACCGATATCTAGCGATTAGAGTTCTTTGGTTAATCCTGTCGGAATGATGGCAAGCTCCGAATTAGTTTCCTTCACTTTGCGTTTGACCGTTTGGTGAGATGGGCGCACATGGAGACGTAGATCAATAAGGGCGGAGATGTGTGAAAAAAACCATCCTGTCTCTTGACATGAACTTCTCTCAGCCACTCGCTCATTTTCATCTACTCCGTTCAGCCTGCTCAGGTTAATCTTGAAGATGACCCCAACAGGCAATTTGTCTCTTGGCAAAATCTTCCTCTTAAAAGTGACCCTGGGTGATAGTTTCTGGCAACTAGCCTGGCAACACAGAACTAAAGTGAAAGATGATTTCTCGTTCCCTGTGGTGCGTATGGATACAGTACATGACGCTGCCTTTCAACAGTACGGTCCACGGGGATGACAAAGCTGAGAGGAACCTCGCCCATGTTTGTGTTGTGGTCTGGCTAGATCCTCTTTTCCGTCATCTTGTTATTACAGTAAGTGCGGAAAATGGTCACTTTTTTTCATAATCCTTTGGCAGTTGCTGCGAGATGGTAATTCTTGTGCAGATGGCGATAACCAAGAAGGACTTTTTAGAAAGACGTTCATCTTCATATCACGTGTCATCGGTATTGCCTTGAATCGAATGGCGACTGTAGACATGCTTCTATCTGTTGTGCTGGGTTCAGTAATCCACTGCTCAATTTTGTCCCCTAAATGTAGCCATCGTGCTTGGTAACCTCGGAAACTCTTATTTGTCTTCTTTACTTGGCGCATGTTAACTTCTTGCCACTTCCACTTCTGTACCATTGATTCATTAATGTTGCATTTTTTCGTAGCTGCTATATACCCATGTTTAACCGCATGGCTGATGGACTTGAAGTTGAAATCCGCTTCGTAAGCATATCTCCTAACACGGTCGTCGCAGACTGTCTGGATGATATCACATCTTTGAAACAATGGTGTAAGCGCAGATCGCGTGTTCAAACACTCACCTGGTTGTTCCTGAGCATAAATTTACTCAACAAAAAACTTTTCGCTTGTAAAATTGCCAATAACAAAAAGCTTCTATCTAAGCATGTTAATACCATCCGAAAGATGAAGCTCTGTATTCCTCCACTAACACGACACTCAGAGTGTCAGAGATCACTAAAGAAGCAGCCAAAGGTCTGCTGAGGTTGTATGCTCTAACCTTCCAACCAGACTTTCGCCATCGTCACATACCGAGACCCTTAACATCAATTTCAACATACATTAACATCTATTGTACCGCCACAGCTGTGTTGAAGAAACTACTCTCACTACGCATGTACAACTCTTCCGGAATCGAGTATATCTACCGTAGGACGCTGAACGTATCAACAACAATATTGGCCGGGTCATTATCACATTTCTTCCAAACTGCGTGAATAAGCAATTTATGCCTATCATGTGGAAACACGGCTTAATCACGCCACATTTTAAAAGCGGTAATTGTTCGGAACAGGCTAAATATTGCCCAGTGATTCTCCTCCCTGTGCCCTCACAGGTGATGGAGGCAATCATCGCTGAGGCTTGAGTAGACCATCTGGAACGCCACAACATCATAGCACCCGAGCAACATGGTTTCCACCAGGCCAGCTCCTTCACTGCCAACCTACTGCTTGCACGCAATAGTTGGAGGGAAGAGGCCGATAATGGTAGACGGACAGTCGTCATTTACCTCTATTTCTCCAAAACCTACGACCAAATGGACCACTTCATTCTGCTTCGCATGCTCGAAATCTATGGAGTTGGGGATTCCGCCCTTGGGTGTATCAGGAATTTCCTGCAGGATCGGTAACTGCAGGTCAGAGTTCGAATTGCACCGTCCGATCCGATTCACATCGAACGTAGAGTTCCACAAGGATAAGGTCTGGGTCGTGTCTGTTGCGCGTGTTCCTTAAAGTGTTTGCGCCTTTGATTGCCTCAGATGTTTTGCTGTTCACTGATGTCACTAAGATGTAGCGGACGATCGTCTACCCAGAAGTTTACGATGCATTTCAGTGTGACCTGGACTGAGTGTATAGACGGTCACTCCACAATCTTCTCCAGTTCAATTGGGGGGAAATTGTGACGTTGGTCACATTCACCACAAGCCGAACATCACATACAAGCTGGGAGACAATGTGCTGCAAGCAGTCACTCAGGAGCGCGACTTTAGGGTACTGGTCCAGGCTGATCTGGGCTGCACAGAACAATCTGAGAATGGGTCAAACACTGGAAACCAACACGTTGGCATGTTGTGGATGGCACCCGGATGGTTTTTTCTCTTTGTCCGTTCACAGTTGTTAAATACCTACTTGCGGCCTCTTGTGGAATACGCAATCCAGGCCTGACAGCCCTGACACAAGCAAGATCTTGCAAACCATAAGACTCCACAGCGACGAGTCATGAAGTACGTCAAAAGGTTGTTCAATCTTCTTTACTAACTAAGACTGAGAATCCGAAACTCATACAGCGGCCGGTGCCGGCCCCTATGTGTCTACCTTATTAGGGCCTAACAGATTCTAAGGAACTTCAACCAAGTCTGCCACCACCTCCTACAATAAGCATAACACGAATCTGAAGGGCTACAAGTTCAAGTTAGCCACGCAATATAGTCGGCTAGAATCTCGAAGGAATTTGTACTCTCTTCGTGTGTGTCAGCCTTGGAAAGTCCTCACAAATTATGTTGTTTCTGTCCCCACTTTACCTGTGTTTAAAAAACGCCTTGACGTTACCTTGAACCACTTAGATAACCATATATAGCCTGTGTGTCTCGACAGACGATAAAACGTGACGAAAGTCTCGCACCCAGAATTAACCTACATGACTGAGGTTGGCAGTTTCTGCATGCCTCCGTGTTATCACTATGGTGAGTACACCCAAACGAGTTTCATTCTAACACTGTTTTTCTATTCACCATTTGTGTTTCGCATGCTGACCATCCTATGGGACTTGCTAAACATCCGCTTTTTTGCCTGTAATATACCATTGTTCAACCGTTCTAGCTAAATTTTTCAAAACAGGTAACTCATCATTTAGGTTGGGCGAAAATCTTTTTCGCTGCCTCTTTCGCAGTTGTCCATAGACGTGTTCCGTATGTGGTACGTTTCAGCTGTTTCACTGAGTTGCATCTGTTGCGCTGTGTTTTATAAGCCGAGTAATCCCCAGCGCTGTGTTTACCTGAAATGCATCCATAACCTTGCAGGTGGTCTCGTTAATTCCACCTATTCTCTATCATGCCATGATGACCTTGCACAAGACTTACTTGATGTTAATGGAGTGAAAGGGCCTAATAACTGGACAACGCTTTATTTCAACGCATCTCAATAAGCACGTATAGATTATTCCAATCCTTGTGTTCAACCATGTTCAACAAGCAATCCAAATTACTCTTACAAATGTTAAGACGTGTAGTAGTAATTATTCCAATGATGGTAAACGCAGGCCTTCAGAAATATTGCTGTGGTCACCGCACACAAGAGGCTCAAATCCTCCAAAGTATTCCAGTTGTTGCACAGTGTTAGTAAAAAAGGGAGAAGGAAAAATTCATGTTGCCATGGAAGTTGTCTTTTTGGCTCCCGGATATGCTGTACAGCATGAATTTCCGTTGCCATATCAGCAAGAGTGGATTCGAAGATGCTATGGCTGGCCAATGTCCTATAATGCAGCCAATAAACATGCAGAAGTTAAAGTCTCTCAACAATCAATAATTAAGGCAGTTCAACCGGTGCTGCATACAGTCGACCTAATCGGGAGAAGTATTCGCATGGCTCCACTATATGGCTCCCAGATTCAGGGTATTCGACCTGACAGTGGACATGATTCCAAATCGCATGCTGGACTTTACGTAACAAAATACACCACCATGAGCGCCCTTGTGTCTTTCATACCGAAATGCCATTATCCACAGATGAAAATTTATGCATCAATAAAATCAGCTTGGAGCTATGTTTCAGCAAACAAAATATATCTAGACAATGTTCTTCTATCCAAAGAAGCTCCTCCTCAAGTACACTGGTGAGAATACGGATGCTCTTCCGCGTCACAGTGAGCTCGGCGGCCAGCCTGGATAGCCCGCCATTAGCAGCACCGGTAAGTTTATCAGCCGGTTCTTGAGCGCTACTCTTAGTTATACTAACTGAAAGTTGATCTTAGATTGTTGCATTCGTCGTTTATAGTTCAATGGTGGCAGTCTCGTTGTTTCAAAATGAAGTCGGCGCTCATGTGAATTCTCCGACATTTTAGGCGCTCAAGTTCAGAGAGAAGACGCGCATGATTGACGTGGTTTCTGAGGACAATCCGCAAAGTACAAACTTCTCGGGAATCGGTTTTCTCAGCCGCAACAATCCCTTAGCACAAACTACTTGCTCAACCGTATCGAATGGCCTATTGATCGAACTTTGTCTAAATGCAACATCCTGCTCATAATGTATTTGCGGGTCGGAATTATCAGACTCCGTTAAAGGAAAGATCTTCCAAGAATGTTTGCGTGGTTGAAGCAGACCGGTTTCAGAGAGCACAGAGGGGCGCTTGTCTGTGCTCGGAGTCACCGTGGAAGTTCTCTTAACTGCGGTGCCTCTCGGTGGGTCAGCGACATTTTGGTCAACGATTGTAGCAGGATGAGGTGATTCTTCGGAGTAGCCAACCATGCTCTACGGGTTACCATTCGAATGCGTCCTGCTGTACGACAAAACTAATGGCATCGCGTCCAAACCATCGAGAGGGTTGGTGCGAGTTCTTTCTGACTATTCGTATCTCTTGATGGCATCTGTATAACAACGTGCTGCGCTATCTAGCTCGTCTAGCAGAAGATTTGGAAGAAAATCCTACATGATTTTAAGACGGTGGTCACCTTCTAACACATCAGCCTAAAGTGAATATCGGCAGATCCATAGTAAATATTTGTGTTCAGATTAGTTGTTGAAAAGCGAAACAATCTGATGCAAGCAACGCTTTTGAACACATGTTCAGTATATGTAAATGATACATTGAACAACCTAAGAAGCCAAGTTGGCATGGTGCAAAACACAGTAATTTGGATGTGACAGAATACGATATGTCAGGAGTTGGAAAGACACAGGAGTCCACTACCTGCATTTGTGATCTCCTAGAGATATAACTGAAAATAACCGGGGCCAAATGTGCGCATCACATTCCTTCTCTGATAAATGAACTTGTACCAGCTGCAGACATTACCTTCGTCTGTCGCTGACGAGCCCCTCAAGTGTTCTTGGCGTCTAGACTAAAACTCGATTCTGCTTCAAAAAGCTGGACGTGGTTAAGCGCAGTGCTTGTGCTAACATGGTGCGTCCGTCCTTTTTATGTTTGCGTATGAATCCATAAAATATGGTTCTTTATTCGTACCAAGTGAAACGAAGATCCCTTTTAGATGAAAATAACGAGGTTAGGGTAACATGCCCATTAGATGTGTGTAGCATTTATCCATAGCAGATTCGCTCGTTCTAACTTTTATTTCTAGCTTTTCGTTTTCGATTCAAAGCTTCTTACTGTGTTTTGTTAGTAGATTTCAGGCCGATTTCTGTCAAACCCTTTGGTTGCAAATAACCATTGTTTATCATCTACGACATATTATTAATGTTTTCCAGTCGAACAACCACCAGTGTTTCAGGAAAAGCCTATTGATTCACTGTGTAATTTAGGCAGCGATGCACAAGTAAGCTGTATCTTAATGAGTCTTATCAATTGTCTTTTGAGATGTCTGTTAGTTGGGATGATGTTTTGCTAACTAATGTTTGGTCTGTTGCATTTGGATCAAATGTTGTTCCTCGGTTTCCCTTCTAGCCGTTTGCAATTATAAACCTGGAATGCCAAAAATGACAATTACTGAAGCCTTGTCAATGGCTTCTTTTACAGCGCCCTGATAGTGTACACCCATTTAGTCAACTTGATTAATTTTCGCCCGTATGGGTATGTTTGAGGATTGTCTACTCAAAAAGATGTCACCAATGTTCCTTGCTCAACAATACTGTTTGTTGGTACTTAGAGCACATGGTACACAAACATCGTAACAACGTTATTAAATTTGACTTATTTAACTCCCGTTAGGATGCGTTTTCCATACTTAACTATCTCTGTGCTATATATTTGTCTAGCTCAGCATAATTACTGTATTAGGATGTGTGGTGCATTCATCAGAAACACAATAAACCATTTTCCACAGAAGCTGAAGTAAACGTTGCCTGTCTGCCAGTCGACTACACTGCTCCGGATCATGGTACAGAATGCTACGCTGTTGGATGGGGCGAACTGCAATCTAGCGTGGACACTAGTTTCTTCGATGCATTTTGGAGTCTGTTAGGGAACTCAACTAAAGCGGGTTTCAAATATCCAATGCCTCAGACCCAGGACAATAAAATGGTGTCGGATCAATTACGTGAGGTCAGATTGACAGTTTTGGATGCTAAGGAATGCAGTAACTACTATACCGATCTTGACGAGAAACGGATACTTTGCGCAGGTTCAAATGGAAAGGTAAGCCTAACCGGTAGTTATGAATTTAGACTAACTTTCTCGCGACAATATGCCAACGAAATTTGACGAATCGGTCTATTTTCTTAGGGATGGTGCTGTGAAGTTATTTCGGGTCCTGTGTTTTATTGCATCCTTTGGAAATATGGCAAGCCCAAAAACTCTGGTCCATCTACGCTGTTAATTCTTGACAAAGGGTTCCTCCTTCGGGTGTGAGGTAGAGCGTACTAAATTGTCAACTGTCCACTAGTAGATGTTGGTCCATCTCAAATTATCTAACCCCGTCACATAGTTGTGAAGAATCAGTATGCATGTATCTGGGTACTTGTGTATTTGCAAGTCCCGCACATCATGAAAAAGCTGGATGGCGCAGATGGCTGAGATGGAGTCAACCTAGAGCACGCTACAGAGCAATTTCACCGATCGATACGTACGGTGTGTAGGGCTGGTTGGAACGGAGACAAGTGTGCAAAATCGAAAAAGCAGTGCCTCATTGTCCGGCTACGTTAGTAGAATTATGGTGGCACATCGATAGGGGTAACTGGCCTGAGCAAGAAGTGTGCAATGGGTGCTTAGTGTTATCCTAGCTAATAACAAAAGGGTTATTGTCAACGCGCTTGTAGATTAAAAATTATCTTCCAACAACCTACCTTAGCTAAATAGGCATTCCTTACACTTAGGCCCTGTAAATAGGCAGTGTGACGTTTTGCGAAAGGAGTTTTGAAAAGCCAGGCCACCTAAAGCCTACTCACAGCCTCATAGCCTATTTCCCCTTCGCAGTATTAATCACCGTAGCAGGAAACAAGTTTGGTTACGCTGCCCAATTTGTTTCAAGCGGGACTATGTGGGTTCATACCAACATATTCACTCATGAAGCAGTACTCCATTAACAAAGAACTAAAAAGCCGCATTTCTAGGCAAAAGATAATCCTCGTGGGTAGTGAGAATCACGTATTGCACAAAGCGCGAAGCACATTGGCTCGAAAGAAGGGATGACAAATCGTGGGAGTGGAAAGCGCACTTATTAAATACAGCGTGGTAAGTGAATGTACCTACTGCGGCTGCTAACTTTGCTTCTATGTTTCCAAACGTCGCTGATCGAAAATAATTAATTCATGGATAGATGATGTTGCCGAAAACAATGCTCCTATATAGGGATCCGATTTAAATTGCTTTATGATATCTGATGTGCCACCGTGGGCCATGGCTAATTCGGAATTGCATTTGTCACACCGGACATGTGAATCGTCGTCGTGCATTCCCTTCTTAATGAATGGAAAATCCCTCTTCATTAGCGCCGCATCACGAATCATAGCTAAGTCAGACCGCAGAAAGTAACGGTGTTGATAGCACCTAAGGAAAATGTATACCTCGAGCTTCCATTTGAGCGTAACACAGCTTCAACGATGGCAATCAAGCGCTTAATCTCCACTACGCATAGAGTCTGCTGCGCTGCAGATGCTGCGGTGATCAACAGAACTCGGAAATTATCGATACTTTCAGTAAAGAAGGTGGAACCCATCAGCACTAAATTACACCGTAGTTACCAATTTGATTATACCTGCGGCGTCAGGTAGGGAGGCTAGAATGGGTGTTTTTAATTTTATTGAAGGAAAACATGGTTAAATGGGTTCAAGGACAGGTCAGCCATCCCTCGCCCAATATCCGTGTTCACGTAAACCGCCAGCATCATGGACAAGCAGACATGTTTTACTGACCCGTTATCGGATTGACCCCGGCAACTCATTTCAGAGAATACGTCATCACGATTCAGGCTACTTGCTGTTCGCCGAGGCCAAGACTACAACCTAGCTAAGATCTGCCCTGTGTGTGCAGAAGCAGTCTGTTCCTGACCGACCTATGGATATCCCGGTCTCAGGACGATTGCCGACATTCACTTCACTGCATTTGATTGCTTGGTAACACTGGAAATGTACAAGATAATTTTTGGTTATTGTATTGCCATTGAGGAGACAATACAAAATGCGCGCATTTACCAATGATCGTATTCACGTTGTTTCATTTAAACTATTGAAGGAAACTAACTGTTTAAAAAGCCAATAGTTCATTTCTCGGCGGGACCGATCAATGCTGACATGAATGCATTTCTTGAGACTGGTCACGCATTCAATTGTAATGTCCCACTGAGACAAACCGAAGTTTAGCGTAGTCTGTGAACCAATGGTGTGCATCCATTCACACTTGACTTACGCTGCGTGGCCAAGTTTATCAATGCATGCCCTAGTTACCTCGCTCTCAAGTGTTTATCTGGCCGCGGTACGCGACCTCTGTGCCATGTGACGACAGGCTCTCGGGGAAGTTGCAAGTGTCCATTCCGTTGTGCACGTGGCCACTAGCTCTTTTCGCTACTTAGCCCTTGCTTCAATTGAGCTGGGGGATCAGGTGGCTGTCGCCACCGTGACAGTGCAGTTCATCATTGCTGACCCCGAGGGTACAAGGGTTTCACGCATGACTTGCCGGCCGGTTCCATCAATCCGCCACGCATTCGATAGCTGAAATGAGGTCGTAGACCTCAGAATGTCCCGCTACGAGCATGTAGAATTTAGATGGAAAAAAACAGAACTTTACTGGACTTTAGTAGATAATGGCTGCATTTTGTCCAGTTTGGCAGGAAAATCATGTGTAAACGAACGTGTAAGATGACTACCCCATTGCAGAGCGATGTCCCATTCATTAAGAAGACAACACAAGACAACGATTCGCATGCTCCGTGTGACAAATGCAAATCCGAATTTTCTATGGCTGATGGGGACACATCGGATATCATAAAGCACTTTAAATCGGATCGCTATTAGGTAGCAGTGTTTGCGGCAGCATCTTCTATCCCTGAAATAATTATTTCCGATCAGCAACGTTTGAAAACAAGGAAGCGAAGTTAGCAGCCACAGAAGGTACCTTCTCTTATCACGCTGTATGGTTAGAAAGCGTTAGGTTGGATAATTATTTTTTCGAGCGGTTTGTTTCATCTGGACTCAGTAAAGCATCCAATGCACATCTAGGAAAGCGCTTTAATGAACGTATAAATGCGGTTTCACTGGGCTTGGCTGCATGAATATCTCGAGGTACGAAAGAGTGAATGAAGTTTTTGAGCAAGTTCTAACTTTTGACCATTTGTTGACGACGTGCTCTGAACAGACAAGGCGGAAAACTAATAATGAGGGGGAATAACTAGATTCATTCACTGACTGTGGTAAATACCCTTTGCACAGAGAAACTTAGAAGTTGGTTACACTAGCATGTTTTAACTAGTGTCCCCTTAAACTTATGTTGTGTGATGCATCATTACTTTAAAAATCGCACCCACTTCATGCAGCCATGCGGCGGAAAGTCTGAACACTGAGGCACTTATGGTGTTTTGCAGTGAACCATACTATACCCTATTCTATTCACCGTCTACGTCGCAGTTCTCCGTATTTCATCGAAATTCATAAACCGTAAATATGCTGCTGACGTTGTTTTGGGCTCCATAATCCTAAACACCAAGACTTCCTTGAAACACCAGTGTGGGTTAGATGAAATGGTGACTTTGTCGAGCTCTCGGTCCCACTCTCTCAGCCATTCCAGATGTTGTGGGGTAACGCTCTGCTTTCTACATTCCAACAGACCGCGGCCTCTTTTATCTACCCCAGCACCCATGGTTGTAAATGACAAAGCGTAATTCGTTCCTCTACCCTAAAGTATTCTGGAATCCTTTTTTCACAAAATTGTTCTAGTTCTACACAAGCTGTTAAAACTTTAATATTAGATGACTCTGATTTTATGCGCTCAGCACTAAAACGCTTTCCTTTTTCCGGTATTTAATTTTAAGCTTTGTAATCGCATGTGTTCCCCTCACTAATTAAACTGCTATTTTCCAAAGACGGTTTCAAAATGGTGATTTCTTTATTGCCCGTTCGCCAAAATTATTTCTCTTTGATCTGGTTTAAGAACCGCTCATTCATTTCATTGTTAACAAACATTTCGATGCATTACTCAAACTTTTCATCCAAGATCTTAAACGGCCACCCTCACTCTTTACATGTCATCCTAGTCAGCATACAGCCAAAATTTGTAGTTATATGTTCCCTTCGCTTTCGTCGTATTGGAACTCCGTCCTGTTTAATCTATCACGCTTACTAATCGCACCTTAAGGAATGAAACGCCGGTTTCGTGCCCGGATGCTTGATTGAATATGCAACTGTATCGCGGTCGAATGTTCTTTCTGATTGGTCCTTTGTTGTATTATTTTTGCAGTGTTAGGTGTAATTGATAAAGAGGCGCTCATGTGGGTGGTTGAAGCTTTATTTGAATTGACTTACACTCACTGCCTTTTAAACAGGAAGAACTCCCATACAACGCCATGGCTGCTGCGGGTTCTATAGGCATTTCTGGATAGTACCACGCATTCTACAGCAAACGGCACTGCCTAACTAAGCAAAGTAAACAAATATTTCTGGTTTCTTGTTTGTGAAGACCAAAAAACGTTCAGGCGGCTGGCGGTCCTGCAACAGCACTTTGCACTTCGAAAGTGCGATTGACTTGCTTAATGTAGAAACCACTCCACGGAGCATACTCAATGTTAAACGACATACCTCCCAGCTTACAAAAGCAAGACGAGGTTGTTTGTATAATTTAGATGAAGCAGTTTTGAATCAGACAACAGTTTAACGCCTACGTCGTGAAATTGTGCCAATGAACATTCCATTATGCACATCATGACAAATTTGAACAATGAGGAAAACAGCCAACTCTACCAAGCATCATATTTTGAAAGAAGGGCTCTGACACTAACTGTGGTGTTTGAGTATGGGGCTCATAGAATTCTTACACGTACGGTGGAAAATTATTTGGAACGAGCATGTCGCAGAGGATGGAGTGATGGACTGAGTACAACGTAACTTTGTACTCAAGAAGCACAATTAATTTCAGTCTGCGATGTGTGAAGCTGTTTTGGCAGAGTGAAACAATAGTCTAATCCCCATTGTGCTAAGCAGGAACTGGTCCGCACTTCCGTAATTCAGGATTCACTTTCTGCAGTGAGGCGACGAACATGAATTGAGGCTAGCAGACTTGTCACTATTGGGATCAAGTTGAGTCTGCTATGATTAGCCGAGTCAGTGAGGTTACTCTGTTTATACATTCTTATTATGGTCGATTTACTTCATTTGACGGGAACGGACTCCTGCGTTTATAGCTGCTAGAACACGTGAGTCGGTGCTTTGCAGAGGGCTTCAGCTTTATGTCGACATATCGCTGTTGCGATGGAACACAAATGGGCCGCACAGAAAAGAGTACTGAGGCTAAGTGGTCTCCGGATCGCACCTATAGATCCGGCATTCGTCTCTTGTGATCGCCATACTTAGAAAGCTTGGCTAGACTACCACAAGTGGAAACAATTCTTGCGAATTTATCATACTGTCTGTTTTGTTTTGGTCGGTCAGCTACATTGGCCCCAAATTTGCCCACACTTTTTTCCTTCTCAATTCTTGCGTCTGAACACCGTATGCTTACGTTATGGGCAAATATAGTTTCTCCGCGATTAATCGCAGTCTCGTTTATCGATCACTATTCAAACTGCTTTGCACACAGTCCAAATTATCCTCAGTTGAGGTGGTAAAAAATCAACTCATACTTCTCTCGTCCTTAACATTTTTCTATTTTCGCAGCCCTTATACCAGTTAAACACCACTGATTGACTAAAAACGCTCATTGCTTTATGTTGTCTTTAATAAATCCAACGTCTATGTCCCCGGGTTTCCTGAGTTTGACGCAAAGTTTAACTGCTTAACGCTGTTCGATGGAGCGTTCCATTTTCTGCACCACAATTCTTTCCTAATGGAATTCAATACTTCAACGATCCGCACGCTCCAACTGTTTGTCGACAACGGGGACTGGTTGTAAGCCTTAGCTAACACCTCCAGCCCAAGCAATCAAAGGTTTCATCACCCACGACAAATGCGCGAAACTACAGCGCTTGTCTAATTGCTTTTAAAACAAACCTTGTATAATAGTCAGCATGGTTAGAATAAATTGCTGAAAAGGTGCTCATATTAATGGAGAAATCATATTTTGATTTGACTTTCACTTGGGCTAACTATGCTAGAGTATATTCACAGCAAAGGAACAAACATCATTTTGGCAGTTAGTGGAAATGAGCGTTGCACCTAAACATTGTACCCAGCTGTCACGTATCCGCGAAAGAGAAGTGCATCAAAGCATTTGTTGCAACATCATCTTACTAAATTCTGAAATCCTTGAAGTTACTTGCAAATAAAACTTGCTATGAATTTCCATGAGCTACTCAATATATTTTAGGAAAGGTAATATTGATGGTTTCATGGAATTACAGCCTCATCGGCTCATCAACAATTATATGGGATTATATATAGCTTACACACTCAAAGCTGATATTACAACAGTAAAGGTATTCGCAATCATTGGGTTTCGTTGATAGCTTCTTCGTGCCATTCAGTTTTGGCAAATTATAACAAACTAAAAATCTTATAAAACACACGGTGAAACATCAAGCTAGTCGAAATGAGAGCATTAGAATTGCTCGCCCAAATCCTCTCCGCACTACTTCAACTGCGCCAGTTAACTAGGCCATATGATACAAATCTTGTGAAAGATTACAGTTGGAACAGTTGGACGGTTAGTTTAGGGCCTCAGTCGGAGGCCGAGGTCCGAAACGCGATCACAGCCCTTAATTGTTTTCGCGCCGCTGGCCCGGATTCCCTCCAACCTGCACTATTTAAGGATGGAGGTGAGGTCCTGCAAAGCACTGACCTCCCTATTCGAACGCATCTGGAACGAAGTGGGTGTGCCGGCTAATTGGAGCGAATCGATTATAGGGGCAATATAAAAGAAGGGTAGTTGCACACTGTCTTAGCCGTTGGGGTATTACCCTAACGCCAGTTGTGACAAAATTACTGGCCTCGATTCTCGTTCGTCGCCTCACTGCGGAACGGGAATCTCGGATTAGGGAAGGGCCGGCCGGTTTCCGCCCAGAACGTGGCTGTATAGACCATATATTCACTTTGCGGCAGGTGCTAGAGCAGCGCCACGCATACCACGGACCGACTGTTTTCCTCGATTTCAAGAGTGCGTTCGATTCAGTCGATCGATCGATTCTGTTCGAAATACTTGCGCGGATAGGTGTTCCTACAAAATATGTGAACATCCTTCGTACTCCATACTCGAAGACTACAGGCCGCGTCAGGGTCAACGGTGACCTATCGGATAGCTTTCCGACCACAAGTGGCGTTCGTCAGGGTTGTCTGATTCCCCCATTTTGTAGAATTTCGTCGTGGACTCTATCATGGAGTGTTCCTTTGCGAAATCTCACGATGTAGACGTTGAAGTGCTGCCTAATGAAAGGTTAGTTGACCTAGATTTTGCGGACGATATCGTCTTGCTTTTCGACGATTTGGCGGCGGCCCAACAAACCCTGAATAGCCCATTCAGAGTGGTCCCATTATTTGGTATGCACTTCGCACCTTCAAAGTGCAAACTGTTGCTACAGGACCACCAGCCACTTGATGACCCCTTGACACTTGCTAACGAGGAACTCGAGGTGGTTGATCAATTCACTTACCTCGGCAGCTGCATCAGCAATGATGGGCGCATGGAAACTGAGGTCAGCTCACGCATTGCAAAAGCCAGAGCTACCTTCTTGAACCTGCGGCATCTTTGGCAACAGAAGGTAGTTTCCCTCTGTCTGAAAGGCAGTGTATACAAGGCCACAGTGAGGGCCGTTCTGCTCTATGGTAGTGAAACTTGGCCCCTTCGGTCTGAAGATCTGAGGCGCCTTCAAGTCTTTGATCATTGTTGTCTGCGAAGCATTGCTGGTGTCGGATGGCACCAGCGTGTCCGCAACGATGATGTGCGTAGGCGAGTACTAGGTGGTGATAATCATGCTAGTTCCCTAGAACCACAGATAGCACTGAATAAGTTGCTTTGGTTTGGGCACGTGCTACGTATGCCTAGTCACCGCTTACCCAGGAGGACCTTGTTTAGTCTGCCAGGTGTAGGGTGGCGCAAGGCTCGAGGTGGACAGAAGTTTACTTGGCAGCGGGGAATGAAGTCACTGACGACCCAACTGGGTGCCGTTGGTCCGTCTCGTCTTCCGGGCTGGAGTCCACGTGACTCACCTTGTGGTTGGCTCGAGACTTTAAAGGACATGGCTCGCAACCGACACCAGTGGCGCGTCTGCTGCCGTATCCTAATTGGATTGTCTGTTTAAAGTGTGTTTGGTGCTGCGTTATCTGCGGGGTAATGGCTGATTATGACGCGTGGCAGTGAAAGCCGCAAGGAAGCCCTCTCGCCGATGCCGCCTTATCTTTGCACGATAGCCAGCTGTTTGTGACGGTATGTTGTCTACACAAGGTGTAGGCGCCTTGACCCTGAATGTTTGCTTAGGGCATTAAGGTTTCCAGGTAAGTCCCCCTTCTCTCCCGCTTCTTATTCTTTATTTCATAGGTCCTCATGGTTGTATGGCAGCGAAGCATCTGTTCAAATGGCTGATGCACTGCTGTTGATGATGATGATGATGATGATGATGATGATGATGATGATGATGATGATGATGATGATGATGATGATGATGATGATGATGATGATGATGATGATGATGATGATGATGATGATGATGATGATGATGATGATGATGATGATGATGATGATGATGATGATGATGATGATGATGATGATGATGATGATGATGATGATGATGATGATGATGGAATATATTGGTTGCGTAATCACAGTATTGTTAGAGTAACAACATTCTGACAAGCGCAACACTCAAAAATGGCGCATAGTCATTTTGATTTTTATACCCCCATCGATAATGCGGGTTATAGCTATTCTTCCTGACGTAAGACCACTGTTTCTCGCTTGCTTGAGCGCGTGCCAGTTAGCGTTTTGGGCATTACTGAAACAATGTTCGGTTGAACCGCATACAACTAAACGGGCTATTACCGCAAAATGACAATACACCTTGACCTCAATATTGTTTTTTTTGAAGGGCGCATGTTTCGGTGACAGTGGAGGTGGGCTATATTGTCGATCACCAAGTTCGAAAGCGTGGTTCGTTGCCGGGGTGACAAGTTTCGGCCACAGCAGTAGATGCGGACTTATCCCGGGCGGTTTCACTTCAGTCAATGCGCATCGGGGTTGGATTTGGAGAACAATTGCCCACTCAACATCAGAGATGAAGGTGAAACCCGAGCAATTAAGTGAGTGTTTTAAAAGAGTAATGAAATTGGATCATAGTACACACAAGAAACTGTTCTCTAATTGTTTCATTTATTACTTGACCATTGTTCAACAAAGTCAATAGATAAGATTTGCCCACTTACACTTCGCAAACATTATGCACAACTTCGAATTCTCCATGCTGATTATGGAGATTTGATTACCCAAGAAACTGAATATCTTCTATGCTATAATGATACCATGGGCTATATTGTGTCAGGTTATTTGCTTCTAAGTGATCGATGTAAAGTGAGTTATGCTTTAAGAGGAAGGCATCACATGCCATGGATGACTCCCGTCTGCTCTTACGAGTTGGGTATGGCAGCAAGAGTATCTCTTTACGTTGTGTGATTGGTGGTGATAGTGTTTATAATACTAAAAACCAAAAGCTGGGACAACCTGCTTTCTGTGGTCTACTGTAACCTTGGTCTTTCGTGCGCTTTCGCACTAACCACCTTCTTTAGATTAAACGAATACTTTAAATTTACACGGATTTGACGTTCAAGCATTTTCACTGCCTGAGATGGGAAATTAGAAGCATTTCTTTTGCAGTGTGGAATGAAACTAAATAGTTCCATCTGGTTTGGAACAATAAATTAGTAGTGTAGAACGTGTGTGAGGGAAACCCGTGACCGTTCTAGTAAAAGAAACTAACTGGTGAGAGCAGATGCCAACACAATTATGTTCGTGCTCCTGAACGTGTCAAGGGTTTCAACTTTATACGTGTAAGAGAGACCACACAATTCTCCTGGTTTCTCTATTGTCATCCTGTAGCGACAGTTATTGCCTAATTTGACAACGGCAGCTTGTTGTTGCAACATACTTTTATAATAGAATTACCTTTAAAAAGAGCGGAATGAATGCGACAAGCTACGAGAGTGAGTTTCTTCCGTTCTTTCCCGGTCGGGTATTGTGAGTATGGTGCAATGGTGTTTTGTCTATTTTAAGTGATCGAGTCAGTCGTGGATGTGTTCATTCAGCATTTAATACAACAATGCAAAATATGCCGGCCCACAATAGTAGCTTTATTTAAATGGCTGTTACGACTGTTAACCTAGAAGAAATGTGGAACATTATGTCAATCTTCCTCATGCCATAAGCTCTTCAATTTTGCGCACAGAAATATCGTCCTCTTACCATAGTTACTAGAGGTGGATATTTCATTTCACATGAGACCTTACAAATGTGTCAATCCTCTGTGGATACATGGAAGAGCCGAGCTATTGAAACACAGTTCGCAAGAAACCAAGGAAGCAACAAGCTATCTTTGTTTTACGCCCCGCCTCAAGCAACCTAATTTATCAGGAAAGCGCATTATGATTTTGTTAGCAAGAGTAGCTCATTACTAACGCCGAAACACTAGCTGATAATCGTTATTGCTCTGGTAATGTGCCATCAACTTTTGGCACCTACTCTTATCCTATTCTGTGCAGCGGTTTCATGGAAGGTGGCTAACAATCTTGGTGGTCAGTTGAAATTAATTCACCTCTGTAAGTAGCAAATACCGATATGACAAAAGACTTCCGAATGTTTCAAGCGGGATTAAATCGTATATACACTACTGAATTTCCGGTATTGTTGACAAAACTGCATTTTCCGGTATGTGACTATCAGTGAACGGGTGGAACGATGATATAATATGGTTAGAAAAAGCCAAAAATTAACGAATTCTGTGCGGTGATTTTTGTAAATTTCATAAGTTCAAAAAGAAGTTACAGGAGAGTGAGACACTCTCTGTGGTTTTTCCTATATTGTCCACCTTACCACACATGATTCCGTTTACCCAGATTTCGAGGGGACTGCTGAGCACAATGTTGGTCTTTGTTCTGTCGACTCTCAGTGAACAGGATTCAAATCAAGTATTGCAGATGCTGCAATGCATCCTTAAATAATTATGTAAAAATGGGTAGACTGGGCACGGAAATGACAAGGATCGAAAGAGCGTCCACTGTTGACAAATTCGAAGGGAAAAATAATCCAGGCTGCTTTTCAGCCAACTGTTTCGTGTGGCCAGTTACAGCCGGTGACCCCATAATTTTGTGTTGCAGCTAAGTTTCAGGATGTTGAGGCAAACTTGGGCGTAGCTGTTCGAGATCACGAACGCCAGAATGAGGTCGCCTCGTGCACGATAATATCTTCCGCTGTACATTCCCACACCCTTCAGTGGCAGATGGTATGGCAGGTATAAGAGGCCCCTAATGTTTTCGTCGTCCTTTGCTGTGCTCTTTTCAGTGCAACCGGATCGCTTTTTAACCCGGGTTGCCGGGCGTAGAAAGCTTAATATACTTGGGGATTCACATACACATTGAGCATTTGAGGGAAGATTGAGGAGCCGAGATACCGGAACGCACTCTTTAAGATACCAATATGTTGGTTAGTGATTTTGGACACCTTCAAGGACTGCGCCAAACAGCCGAGGTCGTCCTGCATCGCCACCCCAAGATTGCGCTCCTGGGATGCGGTTTTCAACACGTAGTCTCCAAGCTTATATTAGTAAGTGGGCTTGTGGCATAAGGTTTTGCACTTGCGTGCGTTAAAAGGAAGTATAATAGACGTTGACCAAATAAAACAGCGGTACAATTATGGTTGCATCATATCGTGATCATCTTGAGAGTCGATCACCCCGCCAGATGTTGGCGTCATCAACAAAAATAAGGATTTTAACTCAATTCCACGTACAAAGATGTTAATGAAGTGGAGAATAAGTGCGACCCCAACACTGACCCTTGTGGAACACCGCAGTTCACATTAATTAGGTAAGAAAATGGTCGCCGATCCTGAAGCTGAAGGCGCCGCTGAAAGCGGAAATTTTCCATCCACTCAAGGACAGAGTTAACAATTCTGTACGCTTGTAGCTTTTGGAGACGCATGGCATGATCCAATCAGTCGAAGGCTTTAGAAAAGTCAAGTTGAGTGTCATCAACTCCAATGCGATGCTCGCTATCTTGGTCCAACCGCCATGCGCAATCATTCCTTGGTAGTACATGACCGAAGCTGACGGGATCCGGTTTGCTCCGGTGCTATGAGGTTGATTAGACCAATCAAGGTAGCACATCAGAGCCGCAGCTATGATCGACTTCATCACCTTAAAGTGCACAGGGAGGCAAATTACTGGGTGAAACTTGGCGAGCTCTGAACGGCTACCACTATTAAAAATCGGAGTACGACTACCGTGCTGCCAAACGCTAAGTACCATCCATTGATCCAGGCATCCTTGACAAAATTGGGTCTATGGCTCAACTAGCCTCGTAGCTGGTACCTACAATGCTTTTTAGGGAATGTTGCCGACACCGGAGGGAACAGTGGGTGCGCAATGAAGCAGCTTCCTCAAAATGGTCGCTGGACCAAAAGTGACGTGGGTAAACACTGGGGTCTGGTGGAAGGGAACAGGCATGGAATACATGCTGGAAGGACGTCGGATTATTTGAGCATAATGGAGCTGTAGAATGTTGGCTGCATTCTTGGTGGTCTGAACACAACCATTTGCTGAGATCAGTGAAGGAATTCCACGCTTCACATTCCAGAGGCTGTTCATATGACTGTACTGAAGCTTCTGGTTAGCATAGCCCTTACTGATAGACTTTGTTTGTGAACTAAGTTGTCCTCATGGATAAAGTTCATAGAGTGATTACGCGACACTTGATAGTTGTTTCAGTGATCAGGGCTATGGTTGGCTCTCTACACATGTCATGCTGTGTTTCTTAACGCTATGCGTTTGATGGGTTTGCTCTGAATGAATAATGGTGCTCTTGCTAAATGAAGCAGACTGTTTACCGATGGGAATTTGATCAGATCACTGAACTTGTCAGCGAACCCCATCCAATCATTATCAATAGAACAATCGTCAGAAAATTCCCAGATGACAACTCCATCAAGTTCTGTTAGTATGTCGTAGTGTGATTGTCCGAAATAAGTCACTATGTTTTCGTGGATATTCGGCGTGACACACGTAAACGTAAATTATTGACAGTGGTCACTCCGGCACAGAGGGCTACCCATAATTGGTTTCCTAATCATCAGCTTTTCGTTCGTGAGCACAAAATAAAGCACGGATTGATTATTTCCGGCCGCGAATCGGGTGGTCGAAATGACTTGGCTGAAGAGTAGCATTTATGTCATATCTAGCGATCTCGCTATACTCTCTCTGCTCCACTTTGTATGTAATTCTTGGAGTGTTTTCACCAATTTTTGTTGGCTAGCTGAGTGATGTTATCCGAACTGTTGTCCGGAAGTGGTCCGACTAATTCGCTTTTCTGGCGAGTTTGTTTTAATCCGAAGCACGGAAGGAAGGCTACTGCTTCCCGCATATCAGCACTCCAGCATCCTTGTTGACGTTTGTCTAGATTAAAGGACCGCTTTCACAAGTCTCTAGTCACATACTTTGTAAGTTTGTAAATCTGCTTTGTCTTGAGTTCAATTGCTCTGTGACGTTTTCCAGGGAGAGGGCCTCGCGAATGTATAGTCACTGTTCGTGGTCGTGGGTGGCTGCTTCGCGCTCATCTTGATCTCCAGCCTCGGGAACACTGAATACATAGATGGTTCAGGCTAAGGATTACTTCCACTATTCTTCCAAGTCATGTTTCGCCTGTTGGCGCTTGCTCCACGGAATATGCGGGAATAGGTGGATGGCACATGACTCATTCCAAAGGCACGCTGTCGATAACAGGGTAGCTTCTGATGCACGGGCAGAAGATAATAAAACAAGGAGAATTCTCGGTTCACTGTAGTGTTGTGAGTTTAGGTGACGGGTGAGGCGTGTCAAATAGACGGCCTTATGTACAATACCTATGCTCTCACGTATACAATTCCACTGGTTCACCTAATCGAGCTGTATTCCATTTCAGAAATTTGACGTAGATTCTGGCGGGTTACTACAGATCACTGATGATATGCTATGTGCAGCTCCGGTTGAGATCAACGGCTCAGCTGGACTGCATACAACTGTATAGATCTCTGAGTTTGCTTTCGTTTGACATCACAA